TTTTAAAATACCCTTCATTGTGGAAGATTTCAAATGGCAACAAACTCCTATGCATCATCCATTTGTAATAATAATCAATTAGTGATTAGTGATTAGTTATCTTATCTATAGCCCCATCTCCTTTAGCAATCCCTCCTGTCAGATTATTTTGAGAAAAATAACAGACATGATATTAATATTATTTCATCTGTAAATATTTCAGTATGAATCTTTAAAAGATAAAGACTTCTGAGGGGGAAACATAACTTCACTGCTATTATCTTGCTTAAAAAATCAGTGAAAATGTCTTAATTATTTCTTCAAGCGGTCTTTATATTTCCCCAATATTTCTGAAAATATTTGAGGAGATGGAAATTATTAAAATCTAGAAATTTGGAGGAGGAGCCCGCAGAGCAGAACTGAGAGCTCTGAGGAGGGGGTGCTACTCCTGGAAAGTCAAGGTGAGTTTGGAGTTCAGGGGAGTAGGGAAGGTGGGGGGTGAGGGATGTTGGGAGCCCTGCAAACCAGGGTCAACTGTTGCTGCTGGCACAACTCCACTGCTGGGAAAAAGAAGGCTTGGGGAGGTGGTAGCGTTTCCCTTTTTTACTTTCCAGTTCTTTACAACCTGGCTACCAATTCCTTGATTATGTTCAGCTCTCACTGTTAGCAACAGCTGTGTGTTTCTGCGTCCTGACTGGATTCCACCTGATGGATGTCAGCTCATCTCCCTTTGGCTTCTCCTCTCCACCACTGCATTGATATTATCTAGGGTTTTAGTTCTGGATTACTATAAACATGCATTTTTATTTTAAGCTTTCTTTTCTTTGCTCATTTAAAATTTTTCTTTATTTTCATGGAGTGTGGTTGTTTTACAATGTTGTGTTTGATTTCTGCCGTACAGCCAAGTGAGTCAGCCATACGGATACATGTCTTCCTCTGTTTCGGATTTCCTTCCCGTTTAGGTCATCACAGCACTGAGTAGGGTTCCCTGAGCTACACAGAGGTTCTCATTAGTTATCCATTTTATGCATAGTATCAGTAGTGTATATAGGTTAGCCCCAGTCTTCCAGTTCACCCCTCCCCCCACTTGTAGCTCATTTTTTTAAAAGTAAAAAATTGGGCTCTGTGTTTCGTATATCTTTTTTCTCAGACTAAATTTTAACTTCTGGTAACTTTTTTTTTGTTCATTTTCACAGCTGAACTGAGGTATAGTAGACATACAGGACACCTTGCAAAAAGCTAGGGAGAAAGGGAAAGATATATCCAACTGAATGCAGAGTTCCAGAAAATAGCAAGGAGAGATAAGAAGGCCTTCTTCAATGAACAATGCAAAGAAATAGAGGAAAACAATAGGATGGGAAAGACTAGAGATCTCTTCAAGAAAATTAGAGATATCAAAGGAGCATATCATACAAGGATGGGCATGATAAAAGACAGGTAAGGACCTAACAGAGGTGGAAGAGACTAAGAAGAGGTGACAAGAATACACAGAAGAACTGTATTAAAAAGCTCTTAATGACCCAGATAACCATGATGGTGTGATCACTCACCTAGAGCTAGACATCCTGGAGTGTGAAATCAAGTGGGCCTTAGGAAGCATTACTACCAACAAAGCTAGTGGAGGTGATGGAATTCCAGCTGAGGTATTTAAAAATCCTAAAAGATGATGTTGTGAAAGTGCTGCACTCAACATGCCAACAAACTTGGAAAACTCAGTAGTGGCCACAGGACTGGAAAAGGTCAATTTTCATCCCAATTCCAAAGGACAGTGCTAAAGAATGTTCAAACTACGAGATAATTGCACTCACTTCCCATGCTAGTAAGGTAATGCACAAAATTCTTTAAGTTAGGCTTCAGTATTTCCTGAATCGAGAACTTCCAGATGTACAGCTGGATTTAGAAAAGGTAGAGGAACCAGAGATCAAATTGCCAACATTTGTTGGATCACAGAGAGAGCAAGGGAATTCCAGAAAAACATCTACTTCTGTTTCATTGACTATGCTAAAGCCTTTGACTGTGTGGATCACAACCAACTGTGGAACATTCCTAAAGAGATGGGAATACCAGACCATCTTACCTGTCTCCTGAGAAACCTGTATGCAGGTCAAGAAGCAACAGTTAGAATGGACATTGAACAACAGACTGGTTCAATATTGGGAAAGGAGTAAAAAAAGGCTATGTGTTGTCACCCTTTTATTTAACTTATATGTAGAGTACATCATGAGAAATACCAGGCTGGATAAGTCACAAGCTGGAATCAAGATTGATGGGAGAAATATCAATAACCTCAGACATGCAGATGATATCACTTAATGGCAGAAAGCAAAGAGAAACAGCAGAACCTCTTGAAGAAGGTTAAAGAAGAGAATGAAATAGCTGGCTTAAAGCTCAACATACAAAAATCTGAGATCATGGCATCTGGTTCCATCACTTCATGGCAAATATATGGGGAAACAATGGAAACAGTGACAAATTCTCTCTTCTTGGGCTCCAAAATCACTGCAGGTGGTGACTACAGCCATGAAATTAGAAGATGATTGCTTCTTGGGAAAAAAGCTAAAACTTGACAGCATATTAAAAAGCAAAGACATCACTTTGCCAGCAAAGGTCTGTATAGTCAAAGCTATGGTTTTTCTAGCAGTCATGTATGGATGTTAGAGCTGGACCATAAAGAAGGCTGAGCACTGAAGAATTGATGCTTTTGAACTGTGGTGTTGGAGAAGACTCTTAGAGTCCATTGGGCAGCAAGGAGACCAAACCAGTCAATCCTAAAGGAAATCAACCTTAAATACTCATTGGAAGGACTGATAATGAAGCTGAAGCTCCAATACTTTGGCCAGCTGATGCAAAGAGCCAATTCATTGGAAAAGACCCTGATGCTGAGAAAGATTGAAGGCAAAATGAGAAGGGGGCAACAGAGAATGAGATGATTGGATAGCATCACCAATTCAATGGACATGAACTTGGGCAAACTCTAGGAGATAGTGAGGGACAGTGAGGCCTGGTGTGCTGCAGTCCATGGGGTTGCAATGAGTCAGACATGCATTAGTGACTGAAAAACAGCAACAAAGACATACAGGAAACTGCATGTATTCAAAGTGTACATTTTATTAAGTTTTAGCACATGTATATAGCCATGAAATCATTACTATATATTACTAATCATGATAATATCACAATAATGAGTATATTCATCTCCCCCAAAAGTTTTCTTCTGCTGTTTTGTAATCCTGCTGTCATTTCTTCCAGCCCTTCTTCCTCATCTCCAGGCAACCACTTGCTTGCTTTTTATCACAGTAGATTAGCTGCATTTTTAGGATTTAATATAAATCAAATACTATGAACTTTTTCTGTTTATCTCATTTAGCATAATTATTTTGAGGTTTATTTATGTTATTTTGTGTATCAATAGTTTGTTCTTTTGCATTACTGGGTAGTATTCCATTCTATAAATGTACTTTGTTTATCCACTCCCTAGTTAATGGATATTTGGATTGTTTGCGGTTTGGGCTATTACCAATAAGTTTGCTGAGAACACTTGACAAGTCTTTGTATGGATATATATTTTCTTTTTCTTTGAACAATACACTGGGGTGGAATGTCTGGGTCAGATGGAAGGTGGATGTTGAACTTTTTAAGAAACTGCTGAACTACTTTTCAAAGTTCCTGAGCCAACCAGCAGTCCATGAGAGTTCCAGTTCCTCTGTATGCTTGGCAACACTTGTTATGGTTAGTTAGTATGTGGAGGCATTTCATTATGGTTTTATTTTGCATTTCCCTAAAGACTAATTGTGTTGAGCATCTTTTCATGTGCTTATCTCTCTTCTTGGGTAAAGTGTCTGTTCAAGATAGACCACAGTTTGAGCCGTAAGACAAGTCTCAACCCATTTTAAAAGATTCACATCATATAAAGTGTGTTTCAGACCACAGTGGAGTTAGATTAGAAGTCAACAACAGAATATCTGGAGAATCTCTAAATCTTTGGATCTAGTACTGCTGTTAAGAAGTCTGATTCTTGTAGCTTCATAGAAGATGTTCTTTCCCTCTGGAAGTGCTTAGAATTTTCTTTATCTTTTATGTGCTATATTCCCCAATATTGTTTCTGAGTTCTTAATCTCTCTTATTTGGCACCCAGTTGCTTCCATCTGAGTTCTTTCATTTTTCTTTAATTCAGGGCTATTTATTTTTATTATTTCCTTAAATATTCCCCCCTTTTAATTATCTCTCCTTTGAATTCCTATTTTCAGTATGTCAGCATGTCTGCTTTCTATCTTCCATGCTTCTTAACTTTTTATTTCCATATTTGTTTCTTTATCCTGTTTTTCCTGCCTCCCAGGAGATTTCCTCAGTCTGCTCTTTTGGTTTTGCAGTTTAGCTGCATTCAGCTTGCTATTTATTCCATCTACACTTCTTTAAGTATAATTTCTTTTTGTATAGTTAATCCTTCCATTTGGCGCGCGCTCTCTCTCTCTTTTTTTTTTTTAACTTTTTTCTCGCTTCATGTTACCAGTATCTTTTTGGCAACACTGGTTGCTGCTTATTTTAAATTCTTAATCTGCCTGTTCTAGCATTTCTGCTTGATATGATCTATGTTGTAAAGTTTCTGGTTTTCCTTTTATAGTGGTTCTAACCTCGGTTATTTAGGGTGTGAACCCATGTTCCCCTAGACTTATCAGACCAGAACGAGACGCCAAGGCTCCGGCTCTGGTTTACGGCTTCCTTTTGACTTTAAGAAGCGGTTAGAAGGGGAGCCCCAGGGGAGAGTCCTGAACTGCAGACCACCGCTCCCTGGTTGCTTCTCTCCAACTAAGCACTCCTCAGGCGAGGGGTCTCCTTGGAAGTGTTACAGGGAGAAGACGGTTCCCTCAGGTGTGATCTGGCAGCTCTCATGCAGGCTGGCGAGGCGGCTGGGAGGAGTGGGTGCTCCGGCAGCTGCCCAGCATCCCCCGCCAGCTGCCCAGCATCCCCCGCCAGCTGCCCAGCATCCCCCGCCGTGCGGGCTCTTGTGTACTTCCTGAGTCCTAACGGGCTGGGCCACGGTCAGACGAAGTCTGGGCGAGGCTGGGCAGAAGCCAACAGCGCTCGCTCACCTGTCCCTCGGCCTCTGCGGCTCCACCCACAGCTGGAGCTGGTCTTTGGTCTCCCCAGAGATCCCTCACAGTTTTGAAGATGAACATGTTCCTCTCTCCTGTAGCTTTCCGAGAACTGAGTCCCCGTGGCCAGTCTCTGCTAAACATCTTGTCTGCACTGCATGGGGTGGCAGTCGGGGACAGGTTATTGAGTGCTTCTGAGTTTTGCATTAAGAAAATTATTATCACAGCGGAGTACAATAGAAACAGGAAGGAAATAGAGTATAGGTAAGCAGGAATAACAACAACCTGTTGAGATGAGAAGATATATTTTTTTTTCTGTATAAATAATTTACTTGTTAGTTGAGCCCAAACTTGAAGCTATTGTTTTATTTTGCCTTTTTTTTTTCTCTAAATATGTTTGCTTTTAGCTTTTGTTGTTGTTGCTGAGTGAATTGCAAACTAAACACTGAGAGAAATTCAAGATGTTAAAGTGAAAAAGGAAGCTAAACGAGGCCAGATTGGAGAACAAATTGTTATTATTTTAAACTTATGGACCACCCAGGCTATGGTAAATTCTATTTAAGAAAATACAGAAACATGATTCCTTCCACTTAACTAACAATTTCAGGAAATATATATCACATTTTGCATGTGTTTTAGTCCACATACTGCCAATATTTAAGCTTGTTTAATTTGAGGAATTTCCTCTTTGTTTTCTTTCCCTTAATTTTTTTTTTTTTTGAGAGTGGTTCCCTTTCTCTTTTTAAAAATCTAGAGACTATGAACAAATGATATTGTGTATGTTCATTATTATTGGGCTGAAAGTTGGTAACTAGAACACCATCTTTATGCTTCATAGAGCTGTTACCCCTTGCATCTTTTCAGAGTGTTTGCCTTTGCTCTAGAGTAACTGGCTAGTCATTATGCTTATTTTAGACTAAAATCAAATAAATCAGTTTGAACTGTAACATGTAAGGTTTATGTTAACCATGAACATAGGAATAATGTTCAATCATGAGACAATTTTTCTTTTGCCTATCAAACTGCCAAAAATTACACATAAAAATATTTAGTAGTAAGAATTCTCATAAAATGCTGATGAGAACGTAACTTCTGCTCACAGGAAGGACACTTGTGGATACAGCTGTGGCGGCCTCTGAGTCGCAGGTGACCCTGCTCTCACCGCATCCCATAGACAGCGTTTTTCTCAAACTTTAACGTACCCCAGAGTCACCTAGAAAGCCTGTTAAGACTTGGATTACTGGGCCCCATGCCCACATCTCTGATTCAGTAAGTCTGGGGTGAGGCCTGAGACTGCATTCTAACAAGTTCCCACCCAGGTAACAGTGACACTGGTCATCTAGTATCGACTTTAAGGATCGCTGCCGTATGCCAGGGGTCCTCGACCCTGGCTATACCTGAGGATCTTAAAAAGAATACTGGGAGGCCTTCCCTGGTGGTTCAGTGGTTAAGAAACTGCCTTGCAGTTTGGGGGATGTGGGTTTGATCCCTGGTTGGGGAACTAAGCTCCCACATGCTATGGATCAATTAAACCCATGGGCCGCAGCTAGGGAGTCTGCGCACGGTAAGGAAAGATCTCACGTGCCACAACTAAGACCCAATGCAGCCAAATAAATAATAAATAAATTTAAACATTGAAAAAAATCTATTCAAAGAAAAAAAAAGAATGCTGGGATTTCCCTGGAAGTCCAGTGGTTAGGACAGTGCACTTCACTTGCAAGGGGCATGGATTTGATTTCTGGTCAGAGAATTAACATCCCACATGCCATGGAGCGTGGCCAAAAATAAAAATTGATGCAAAAAAACCCATGATAAATTTTAAAAAAAAAGCTACTTTTGTTGTCAGAGACTATCAATGTTCATGTCTACTCCCAGGGATTCTAGTTTAATGGTTGAGAGGGAGACTGGGTATCTGTATCTTATGAAAGCTCTTCAGGAGATTCTGAGGGACACTTCAGGTTGAGAACCACAGCCTATTCTCAATTTCCTCGATTATCCAGAGGCACTATTACAGTTGCTGTTTAACGTCCAGTCAACCCTTCAACATTAAGGTGTTACCAAGATATTTTTATTTAAATTGGCATGCCCGTTGGTTGTGGTCACCACCAAAATGTAAGTCATTATGTGTTTATCATCTCTCTGCTTTTAAATATTTGCCCATGATTTCTCTCCTCTAGTTCAGTCTCTCCTCTCTCTTCTCCTCACTGCCTCATCCCTCTTTCATCTTCCTGTTGCTTCCTCTAGAATTCTTCATTACTCTGTAGAGTTATTAATGATCTCTTCTCTTTCAGCCTCTCTACCACTTTTAAAACTTTGTCCCCTTGCTTTATCTGTAACTTCTTTCTGAGCATAGTGCTTTTCTTTTCCTTTTTTAATTTACTTTTTGGCAGCACTGCACAGCAGAGGGATCTTAGTTCCCCAACTAGGGATCAAACTCGTGCCTCCTGCAATGGTATCATGGATTCTTAACCGTTTGGACCACCAGGAAAGTCCAATAGCACTTTTCTTGCAGCTGTTCCAGATGCAGGCTGCATTTATGAAAGGAGACTCTGTTTGGGGCATTCTGTAGAGAAGCCTAAGATAGATAAGCTGTGCCCCCAGACCCTCTAAGTTGCCTTTCCTATATACCTCATTTTACCCTTAACACTTTAATCCTTAGGCTGGGCATGGATAACAATGCTACTACGTTTCCTCAGACATTCATGTTTTACTGTGGAACAGTTTCAGATACCTTCAGAATAGGTTATGTGCCTTATGCCAGGAATCAGCTTCCTATTAAAGTATAATTGACAACATGATTCTGCTACATGTATCAAGACTCTTGAACATATTTATACCCTTTGACACTTTGGTGAGCAGAGGGAACACAGGATAGAGAGGCGCACACCGGGCCAAGCCCTCTTGTCTATTTCTCTCCTTCATGTGTGGAAAGCAAACTGTCTCCCCATTTTTTTTTCATTCACCTCGTGATCCTGAAATTCAATTCTCCCAGAGCTGTAGTTTTCACTGGGAGCAAGTCTAAGGTTGTTGGGAGAAGAGATGTTGATGTGTTTATTCACAAACACATGTTTTAAAAAACTGTGTGTTGCTGGCCTGTGGGGTTTTGTTTCCACGCTCTTTCTGCCTGCACAGGATCTGGGTACAGTTTGGCTGGCATTTCCGTGAACTGAGAGGAGCCCGAAGGGTGTGTTTAAGCCACGGCGGATAATTCTTTCTTTGATAAAGACAGACCTGTTCTGGCCAATGCACAGGAAGATAGGAGACACAGTGGGCTGGTGATAAGGGCAAAAGGCTAGGAAACTCAGAGTAAGAATTTTTTTTTACTTACTAGGCTTGTCATTGTGAGCCATTTACTTAGTTTGCATTAGCCTCAGTTTTCTTACCTGTGAAATGGGAACCAGTGTGTCTATTTTACTTTCCTCACAGGATGATTGACTGTGAGGATGAAATAATCAAATGTGTGTGCAAATGCTTTGGAGTAGTAAAGTCCCATAGGGACTTCCCCGATGGTCCACGCTCCCAGTGCAAGTGGTCCTGCTTAGGAAACTAGAGCCCACGTGCTTCAACGAAGACCTGGGATAATAATTAATTATTAAGATAATAATTAAAGATAATAAAGATAATGGTTAAGATAAACTGTACCTTTTGGAATTATAAAATGATTGAATGAAGATGAGTAAAAATGTCATAAACTTACTAGATTAGAAGTAAGATAAGAGATTTTGAAAATATGTTACTTAAACAATACCAAATATTTTACTATCCAAATAAAAACAGCCATCTCCTAAGTCCTTTTCCTTTTAGAATAAAGATTCTTGACTTTCAAAATATTACCCAGATTCTAGCTCGATATGGGAATGGTTTAGGTATTCTACTCTGCCTACCAAGAATAATCTTTTTTATTTCACTTTTTAAAAAGAGACCAGCAAGTTTTAACATGGTGCCTGTGACAATGTTAATTGTCTGGAATATCTCAATTTCTAGGGCCGTCGTTGGTCATAAGGCCCTCACAAACTATAATGTTTATGGTCCCTTTAACTCTTCAAACCAAAAATTCTCAACCAGTATCTCCTTTTGGAGGGAAAGGGATATGAATATTCCTCCTAAGGAACACATGTCCCTTACATTTTTCCTGTGTGGCAGTTCTCAAATCTGGCCCTCTTTCATCATCTCTAAAGCCATCCTCTTAACCTGGGCTTGCTTATCTTTTACCTGGATACTTCCTGAGCCTTCCCTATTGCCAGCAGTAGGAGGTTCTGTGCTCACACTTTGGCCTTGCTTCCAACTGGTGCTAAATTATTTACTCATTCCTCACTGATTTCTATGCAGTTTCCTTCTTGTTAAGCTAAATCCATCCTTTTCCTGTATGTCTCCAGACCAAACACAGTATTTTGCTCATTTTAGGTTGTCAGTTCAGTTCAGTCGCATCTGACTCCTTGCAACCCCATGGACCGCAGCATGCCAGGCCTCCCTGTCCATCACCAGCTCTCAGAGTTTACTCAAACTCGTGTCCATTGAGTCGGTGATGCCATCCAACCATCTCATCCTCTGCGTCCCCTTCTCCTCCTGCCTTCAATCTTTCCCAGCATCAGGGTCTTTTGAAATGAGTCAGCTCTTCGCATCAGGTGGCCAAAGTATTAGAGTTTTAGTGTTGACATCAGTCCTTCCAGTGAACACCCAGGACTGATCTTCTTTAGGATGGACTGGTTGGATCTCCTTGCAGTCCAAGGGACTCTCAGTACATGTTAAATCCAACTGAATAATTTTCTTGATCAAACTTGCAGTATAAACTGGACTCTCTGTGAGCAAACATAAGTGCCCTTGCCCCTGTTGATATAAAACATGAGTTTAGAGTTTTCAGTGTAAATCCTGGAAAACAAACCACCTCAGTGAGATGGAAGACCAGTGATATGGGAGGTAAGAGGGCGACCATATCCTTCACCCCAGGACTCAGGAGAACACTCTGGGTTTCTCCTCTTGGAGAGATGGTCCAGGATCCCAGCAGAGAAGCTGGAGTTTGGCATGTTTAGAGGTGACAGTTGGCGATGTGCTCGTGAGGACAGGGTTGTCTCTGTACTGTTCACTGTTGTTTCTATTCCAGCACCCAGAACAGCACCTGGCATGAAGCAGACACTCAATAACTC